ACACACACACACACACACACACACACACACACACACACACACACACAAACCTCTTGAATAGCTTGAATCAAAATAAAATAAAGACAGGATCGAAGACATAAACTTGGAGACCAGAAGCCTTCCAAACCAGATAAGCCATGGATTTGGTCCCTAACACTGAAAACTGAGTGACCCTGCCTGGAGGTGCTGGGCTTTGGAGTATAGAGAGGTTGAGGCAGAGAGCTAGCTAGAGCCAGGCTGGTGCGGGCGAGATGTATCTCCCTTTTTGTTTCCCAGTCAGAGGAGGAGTCCCCGCCGGCTCTGGGACTCTGGATGTTCAGGATGAAAATCTCACCTCCCTTCTCTCGGGAGGCACAGGAAAGCTCGCTCAGGCTGAACTCTCTGCGTGTGGAGACCTGTCACGGAGCGCTGCCAGTGATTGCAACAGGTACTTGGCAAAGCTGCCTGCACACATGAACCGAGTTACAAAACAGAGATCGTATCGTGTGTGACACACGGTAGGGCTGCCGTGGTGCTGAGACCGGGCCTGGACGGGAGCCCTGGCTTGGTGGATGTCATTAGCGTGACTGTACCTAAAAAGATGGAGTCCCTGTCTGGGGACACAGGCTGAAATGCTGAAACAGCCACAAAACTGCCTGCTACTGGAGTTTGGAAACTAAAACTTGGTTCATGTGCCCGTTTTTCCAGGTGCAAGACATAGTCCCCCATCTTCAATGCCAGGCACAGTAATTTGTATTAGCTGTGTACACTTTATAGTGTACATCTAGCTTTTCAGGGTGTTTCTATGAGGACACATGTCATAAACACATGTATATTCATAATTATTCAAGTGTTTACTACCCAACTTCTTGAAGATAGGAACTTGAATATATCCATGGACAATGGTGTCTAGCCTGTAACCCCAGGACTTGGGAGGAAACCGGAGGATCAAGAGTTTGACAGTTCCAGCTGCACAGTGAGTTGGAGACCAGCCTGGGTTGTACCAGACCCTGTCTCAGAAAATAAGCAAACAAAAAAATAAATAAATAAAGCAAAAGCATTTGTTTATGAACAAATTACTTCTAAAATATTTCCCTATTAAAACATTAGCAGAGGGGAGTGACTGGAAGGAGAAGGAGGGGAAACAATGGTTTGATTGTAAAACAAATAAGTAAATATTTTTAAAAGAAAAGAAAAGCAATTAAAAATTAAAATAATAAAATTTCAAAACCAAAACAACAACACCAAAAGCCATCAGTCCTCGGCTACCATCACTCCCCGCCACTCCTCCTGGGACTGGGTCTCTGCAGGCCAGTCACTTGCTGTCCTAACAACTCAGTTAATAAATATCATAAATATTATATGAACTCTGTTGGAGAAGCCTAACGGATGAGCAGGGCATTGGAAAAGACAAAAGGAAAAGAGGGAAATATCCAACCATAAAGAGGCTTAAAATGGATAAAATCTTAAGCGTTTTGTAAAACAGATACCTGAATAACTTTGTTTTCAGAGGCAGGTGCTTACCGTGTAGCCCAGGCTATCCCGGAACTCACCGCAAACTACACACTCTGGACTGTGATGCCTGGCGGAAGTTTGCCTCTTTGGTGACAGTTTCACAAGTCTGAGCAACGTAGATGATGTTCTGGGATAATTTTGTCAGGAAGTACAGACTGACGCTGGAGACGTAGATTGACAAGTAACTACATAGCACACACAAGGGCCAATACCAAGAGCTGAAAACTAAATAGTATACTAAAAACCTAGTAGACTCATTCTTTAGGAACTAGCACATAGATTACCAAACCACAGAAAATAGATGTCAATATCTTTGAGTTTCACTTTTCAGCAGGAAGTTTAATCAAACTTCCTCCCACTCATTTAAAAAAAAACAAAAAACAAAAAAAACCACTTTTTTTTAAGTTATTCATATTCAATGCCCCTGCTTGGCAGCCATTATTTTAGCATGTGGAGGGGGAGATGGAGTGTGAACAGGAACCAAAGATCCTTCTTAGCCACTCAGCAAAAGGGAGAGAAAGGGGCCCTCGTTGCCTCCCTCAGTCCTGTGAAACCGAAGGAGATGGGTATTCTTTTATTCTTTTGAAAGGTCTTTTTGTTGTTGTTGCTTGGTTGGTTTGGGTGGGAGGAGGAAGGTTGAGGCAGGGTTTCCTTGAACTCACAGAGATCCGCCTCCCTCTGCCTTCCGCACCTGCCTAAGGAGTCCAGAAACTTTGGATCCCTTGACCCAGAGTTACAGGTCGTGTGAACCACCAGAAGTGGGTGCCGGTTCCTGAACTCTGGTCCTCTGCAAGAGCAGCAAGCTCTCTTAACCACAGCACTACCCCTCCAGCCCTGAGCTGTGTTTTCTTGAGAGAAAGCCCTGGGGAGTTCCTACAGCACTTTAGCCAGAATCTCCCTGGAGCAGTTTTTGAGGCCACTGACCTGCTAGCGAGCGAGCGAGCAATTCTCCAGTCACACCAAGAGTCTGCTGCCCCTCCCTCTCCCGGGCTAGCTTTCCTTAAATCTCCCGAGAGGCCATGACCAAAACCTCCTAGAGAACTTACAAATAGCAGATGCCAATTACAGTCTGGTTTGAGATGAGGAATATCATAATGTCACTGAGTCAGTTCCTTGCCAGATGGGCAGGGACTGTTGTTTCTTGCCTCCAAATCAGAAGAGACTTTGTCATAGACATTATGTGGCCCACCTGGCATTGTGCACACCAGATTCAATTTAGAATCGGGTTTTCTGAAGACCACAAGGCTCTGAGAATGGAAGCCCACCATTTTCTCCCCTGCACAGTTACTACTACTAAAGTCTCATGTGATCAAGGACACAATGTGATGCAAATACAGGATTTGGGGACCTGATCCGGATCCATTAAATGAGAATCTGCTTCGAAGCTGAGTATGGGAGAGGCAGGAGAATCTCAAGTTCCAGGCCAGCCTGAATGTTGTGAAAGACTATCTCAACATTATTATTATCTCAACATAACTCCCAGGGCCTATTGCTCGGTGTCCAACCTTTGCCTAGCATGCACAAGCTCTGGGGTTCGTTTCTAGCACCGAGAACAACAGCATGAGCAGAGGAGAGAGAGGGTCTGCTTTCAGCAAGAGCCTCAAGACAGTCAGAGCACACAAAGGCTTGAGAAGCCATGCTTCTGCGGTTACCAAGCGCTCTTCCTCAGTCGGCTGCTTTAAACTCTTCTCAGCACCCCTGGTTTCCTTGTGGATAGCTGCTCGTTCCTGACTGGTTGCTGAGGGAACTACACAGTCCACGGAAAACCAGAAGGATCCTCAGATGGGTTTGCAGACTATGTGTGCCTCCTTCCCCCTATCTTCTTCACACCAGATTCTTAAACACCCAGAGTTCATTCATCCCCAGTCCCAAGAGGTCATCCTTGAATTGATCAAAGGCCCATTGAGAGTGGGGTCTCCAGTCTTGTGGTTCTCAAGGGTTTGAGCTATCTGCTTGAGACCAAACACACTGCCACTTGAGCCTTAACCCCTCTCCACCTTCAAAGCAACTTTGAGTTGAGGGCACCATGTCAGAATGTTTGTGAACCCCCCCCCCAAATTTATGTTGAAATCCTAATCCCCGAAGGGACAGCACTAGGAAGGGGGCCTTTGGGAAGGTCATTGCAGATCATGAGGGATGGTTACAGTACCATTGGAAGATGAGAAGGCACAGTCCGTGTCAAGGTCCTCACCAAGCCTGGTACCATGCCAATGAGCATCAGCCTTCAGAAACCCAAGAAAGAAATGTTTGCATTTCTAAACTGCACAGCTTAGCGGTTTGTTATGACAACCCAAAGGGACTAAGAACCAAGGACAGCTGGATCTTGGGGGGGGGGGCATGAATAGAAATAAGTGAGTTCTTCCTTGCAGTGGGGTTTGCCGTTCGTTTTTGTTCTTTAAAGGGTGTTGGGTGGTATTGCATGGGGAGAATGTTTCAATGGTTAAGAGCACTGCCTGCTCTTCTAGAAAGCCAGACTAGACTCCCAGCTCCCACACAGTGGCTCACAACCATCCGTAGCTCCAGTCCCAGGGGATCTAACACTCTCATTGGCCTTCACGGTTACTACATACACGCTGCACAGACATGAATGTAGACAAAACACCCCTATACATGAAATAAAAAAAAAATTCTTAACATTTTTGCTATTTTTGAGTATAATTTAATTTTTAAGGGTAAGCAGGAGTGATAATTGAGGGTCTCAGATGCCAGGCATCTGTGGGTAGAATTTAGGGGGTCTGTGAAGCCGACAG